CCATGGGACAAGAGTTTTGACAACTGCATGATTCAAGGCACAGATAGAGAGTGAGAGTCTGGGTCAATGGTTGTGATTGATAACCACATAATAAACAACAAGCTCGGAGTTCAACAGGCTTTTTTCAATGAAGGCTTGTGTTGATGGATTCCTTAGTGGTTGTAGGCCCTATTTGGCAATAGATAGCACTTTCTTGTATGATAGGTTCGGGGGCGAGTTGTGCATAGCATATGTGCAGTTGATGGGCACAAATGGATGTATCCGGTTGTTGTAGGTGTCATAGATTCGAAACCAATGAGGCTGGGTGTGGTTTATGGAGAGGTGAAAGAAGCAATAGGCACCCAGATGGTCTCTGCATAAGCCTGCATCGTGGGATGAGCAATGATGCATGGGGTCGATGAGGTTTTTCCGAAGCGAGAACATAGAGAGTGCATGTACCACCTTGTATGTAATTTTAAGAAGAGATACAATGGCAAAAATTTTGATGATCATCTTTGGGCGACTTCTTATTCTTGGTCCGAAAGTCTTGGTTTGACATCCATTATAATGCAATGGCTAAAGCCGGACAGGAGGCTATGAAAGTATCATTATGAGACTCACAAGAAGTTGTGGGCTAGGAGCCAGTACCTATTTGGCAGCAAGGTTGACTATGTAACAAACAACTTGGCAGAGTCCTTCAACAAGTGGATAAAGAAAGACAGGCAACCACCTTGATGACTTGCTTGATACTTTTAGGCAGAAGTTGTTGATTAAATGGAATATGAGGAAAAAAGTTGCAAACAAGTTTGAAGGGAAGATCCTACCTCACATTGTTAAGAAATTGAGGGAGGATAGCTACAACTTAGACATTGATGTCATTACTGAAAGTGATGGAGTTGCAGAAGTATGTGCCAAGGGGAGGAGTGACAATGCATTCAGGTTTGTGGTGAACTTAAGACAGAGGACATGTGTATGCAGAGTGTGGCAAGGGACTGGATTACCTTGTAGGCATGCTATTGCCTACATCACCTCAATTCCAGGAGCAAAGCTAGAGGACTATGTAGATGACTGCTACTCAGTTGAGAAGTTCAGAGCTGCATATGGAGGTGTGATCCCATCCATTCCAGACAAGTCCATGTGGCCCAAAGCCACACATGGATTTTTTATGCACCCTCCTCTATTGAAGTCCACAGCTGGAAGAAGCAAGAACAGGCACAAAGGAGCACTAGAAGGAGGTAGCAGGAAGAAGATAAAGAGGCATGAGTGCCCTATATGTCATTAGTTAGGGCACCACTGGTACACCTGCAAAAATGGTGATCCAGCAGACATAGCTACAGTGGAACAGCAAAGGTAAACATCATGACTTGTTTCATCAAGCTCTTTCATCACATTGTAATATTGGCTAACTTTTGCTTCATGTTGCCTGCAGGGGTCTCCCAAAGAAGAGGCAGAAGAAAACAGCTTTAGCCAACACAGAGACAAGCATTGTTGTTGCTAGACAACCTGTTGGGATGGTTTACCCACCAAATGAGGCTGTGGATAATGCAGTACCCCAGAAAAGGAAGAGGAAGACTTCATCTGCATCAAGTGTCAAGAAAAGCAAGGCCTCATCTACAAGTGCATCAGCTTCAACTGGCAGGTATGGTTGTATGCATCTTTTTCATTTCATTGGTACTACTTTGTGACTGTTTGTTTACTTCATGAAGATCTGGAACTGGATCCAATGAACCTGTTCCTCTCCAAGCAATAGGCAGTGCCACAGTGATGGCATCACTGAAGGAGCAGGAGTCTGTCCAGGTTGCCAGTCCTCCAAGGAAGAAAATTGCTGTCAAGAAGAAGCTTACACCGAGGAAGGATGTATGTCGGGTTGCAGCTGACCCTTTTAGCCCAGCTACAAATACCAGAGGCAAGAAGAACCTACAGCTTGGTTAAAGCATAGGTGACTCCTCAATGGCCTTTTGCTTGGTAAACCTGAGAACATGTTGGTGATGAAAACTTGTCTTTTTGTGGGTTGAAAACTTGTTGGAAAACTTGGTTAAAGCACAGGTTTTTGCTTTGTTGAAAACCTAAGACAATGTTTGTGATGTGATGATTTCCTGTGATGTAATGTTGGTGAAATGAACTGAACTGAACAATGTTGGTGATGATTTCCTGTGATTTCCTGTGATGTTATGTAATGTTTGGACAAGTTAATGCTAGTTTCATCCAGTTTGGACTAATTTGATGTTGTTGATGTCATTTTGGTTCATGGTTAAGTATTGTTGTGGTCTAAAATGCCATTGCAACCTTCATTCATTGATTGTTCATCCATACATGCATAAACATATAATGACAAACACACACACACACCTACTTCTTCATTATTGCATACATGGCAAGAAATATTGCAAGATAGACCAGCTTCTCAATCCATTTAAGCTGCTGCATAACCCCATCTGCCCTGTCTTGAACTCCACCTCGCTTGTGACACTGAAAGCTTCATTCATGTTGGCCACTTGAGTGAAGTCTCAGTAGGTCTTCTTGCCTCGCCTGATATAGCCATTTGGATCCATTGCTCATATAGGCAAAAAGTAGTAGCATAGCTTGACTGTGATGGAGTGACATCCATCTCATCCTCCCACCTCCGAATTGGCACCCTGACCCTAAGCACCAGATTATTAGAAGAGCGCTCTTATTAGAACCACGAGCACATATTAGAAGAACAAGAGCATAGCATGAACAAAGAAGAGAGACAAACCGAGAAATAGGGACACTTGTGGAAGACACGATGTTGTTCTTTCTCTGTCCTCACGGTGAAGCGATTGGCCAAGACTCTGATTTGGGCAAAAGCACGCCCTAGTGAGCCGCCTCTCATAAGCGCTTGAACCTTTGAGACATGGCCATGGAGCGGAGAGAGGATTGAGTGGACAGAGAGGTGAGTGGAAATGGAAGGGAGGGGTGGCTATATATAGAAGCGAGGCAAGTTGGCGCCAAGGCCAACCTTGTTGGCGTAAAAGCCATCGAGTTGCCGCCGCCCAATGGCAAATGGCACATGAGAAACAAAAGTTCCAGGGGCATTCAAGTCCTTTGCCACCCATATTTCACACCGTTAGTGCTGTAAATAGACAGAATGGCGTGAGAGAGAAAAGTTTTTCGAGCTTGGACACTGACGATAGATCAAACTTTTTAGGGACATAGACGATTAGACCATCTTTTTTAATGGCATACAAGTAAAAGACCCCAATCTCTATGGCTCAGGCGTCGGCATCGATGGGAGGAGAAGCAGCAGGGGAGAGGATAATGTTGTGTTTGTGAAACGAGAACAGGGGAGAGGATAAGAACGTGTTGGTTCCATAGGAAGGAAGTGGCGTACAAATAAGCATGGTGCAGTCTGGTATTTTTTTTTATTCTCGTATTAACATTTTAGTGTGAATTTGCACCATCCGACGCTAAGTTCGTCACGAAAAGGGGCGAAAATCTGTCACCGTGTCTTATTGAAAAGATTGTATCATAAATCTCCTTTATTTTCTCAAAGTCCGAGACGAGACCCCGAGAATTAACGATTTTTTTGGTAAAAAAGTACGTGGGGGCGCTGGCTATGTCGAACAGCAAGTCTAATGAGTAATAACGAGTACTAAGCGAGGGAGGTGCTTTATTTGTGAGCTTCTTTGGGTCTCAGGATGGAGGGAGCATTTGGGCTTCGACTCGGTAATAGTGCAAAGATAGTGTTGCGACGCAAACAGGCCCTAAGCCCATGGGCTGCAAAGTAAGGCCTTGTCGACTGGTACGGTGGCCATGAGCTTCAAAGTCCATCTCAATTTTTTTTATGAATTTTCTAAGAATTGATCAGATTTTAGAGTTTTTAAATACATATTTTACAAAAAAATAGTTTATATTTCTATATTTTTGGGAAAAAAATCTAATGGACTCTATCAGCGTAGTCCGGTTTACCTCTCTCGTGGTTGACATGCATGGTGCCATGTGGACGTGGCGCTACATCAGTGAGATCCATTTAAAAAAACACTCAAAGTGGAAAAATTAGCTTTTATGGTTAAATCGGATTTTGGTGATAGTTGAGGAAGGTCGAATGAGCTTTTTCCTATATATTATGGGAGACAACAACATACAAATGTCTTCCAATAAGTCTAAAGGCTGGATGCACATGTACAACCTAACTAATGGATGGAAATGAAGACAACAAACAGGTGGGAAACCTCCTTAACCATTCCCCGCACGTGTATTTGATCATTGAAAACGAGAACATGATGACCAAGATAGCTGGGAACGACAGAAATGGGATATGTAGGAAAACATAAACAAACAAATAGGATAGCTAATGACAACTTAAGATAAGATTATAATATGGCTTATTGTGCCTATTTGACATGTTAGGAGCCTTGTTGAAGGGGAGATACAAGTATCCATAGCAGAGAACAGCATTTTATACAGGATTTGTCACGGGACAGACAACCTGTGGATTTGTCACGGGGTTGACTCCAATCCAAAAACCAAATCCACAACCTATCCTTGGGCGCGTTTAGTTCCTCAAGAATCTAAATTTTGGCACTATATAAAAAGAAGATTTCCCGTTACATCAAATTTATAGTACATACATGGGGTATTAAATGTTGACGAAATAAAAAACTAATTGCACAGTTTAGTTGTACTTTGCGAGACGAACGTTTTGAGCCTAATTAGTCAACGTTTGGACAAGTATTATCAAATACAAACGAATGCTACAGTAGTTACTGTGGCTACAGTAACTTTGCCGCCGCCAAATTCGGGCGCAACTAAACGAGGCCCTTATCATCGCTCCAGTGTGTGAACCCGTCGATGCTCTATAGCATTATTAGCACCGGCGCCTCCACGGCACTTTCACCTCGCCTGCTCGCCACACGTCCCCAGAAAGATACCCAGCACGCAGGCACCACACGCCCGCGCCGGCGCGCCGCCGCACCAACACGCCCGGCCATCTTCTCCCCGCAGTTCAAGGCGGCCCCGAAGCTCCTACGACCTCCCGGGAAGGGCTGCGACGCCGCGGGATGTGGGGGCGGCACTACTGGGGCGGCGGCCGGCGGCCAAGCTGGACTCCCGGAGGGGACGGAGCCGGCGCCGGCGGCGTGGTGGTGATGTTCGCGTGGCTGTCCAGCCAGGAGCGGCACGTGCGGTCGTACGTGGAGCTGTACGCGGCGCACGGGTGGGCGTGCCTCGTCTGCCACTCCGACTTCCTCACCCTGTACGGCCGTCCCGTCTATCTCGTCTCTTCTTCCATCCTTTGCCAGCGACGAAAACCGTGAAATTATGCGATTAGGGAGTAAGAAGTTCTTAGTTCGTTCGCTCTGGCATGTATACGTTCTTGGATTTGCTGGAATCTGGGATTAGGAGGGGAGGCTTCAGTTTCTTGTCTTCCAAATTACTACCTCTGTCCGGAAAATAATTGCGTGCCACGAAAAATGGTTCAGTTTGACCAAGTTTTTAGTGAATAATATTTATAATTATGTCTTTAAATTAATTTATTATGAAAATAGATTTTCGTAATTAATCTGATGGTATTTATTTGGTATAATAGACATGGATATTTTTTTATCTATAATTGATCAAACTTAAGGTACTAAAACGTGACACTTTGGTAGAATTGCATTTTTTTGGGGATGGAGGGAGTAGATGTTGGGGGTATTTGTGGCCACGCAACTGATGGCTTGCATGGATTCATGATTGCGTTTGATTAGCCGTTTCCAATCCAATTCTTGGAAAAGTGTGATGACACATGTATCCTCTAGGGTTACTTTGTTGCAGGAACTTCTATTTTTGGTAGCATGGCTCCATAACTCTGTACAATTGAATCAATTGTTTATTGTTTAATCACGTGCGCGTTACACTTACTTAAGCAGGTTTTTCCCTGAGAAGGCTGCCATGCTCGCAGACAGGGTGATTGGGGAGCTTGTCAAGGTACGCGTTTACCTTAATGCATTGTGATTTCAACCTGCTTGGTTCGTGTTCCATTTGGGATGAATGTTTAGGCGTGTCTATCCGTTGCAATCATCACATGTTGCCATACTGCTCTTTGAATTCCAGGTGCTGAAGATTACACCTGTGCCTGTGGTGTTTGCGTCGTTTTCAGGAGGGCCCAAAGGGTGCACATACAAGGTTCTTCAGGTGAATACCCTTTAGCAGAATAATCTCTCTTGTTGAAGGTTAGACTCTGTGTATCTCAATGTAAAGCTTTATTTATTGACTGACAGTTAATCGAGAGAAGATGTGAAGGGCAACTAAGCCTGGTATGACTCTTTTCCTGCCTTCCCTCTTCCTATGAACTCATTGCTCACAGAAATTTTAGTTGGATCTTGTTTGGAAAATGGAAGAAGTCACATCCATTTATTTGTGTATCCGAGATTGAATTTACTCATTTTGAAGAGCCTTTTTTTTTTCTTTTGGCTTCCTACAGGATGAGTACCAGCTTGTACGAGATTGTCTATGCGGACAAATGTATGATTCAAGCCCTGTGGATTTTGTCAGTGACTTAGGCACTCGCTTCCTCCTCGATCCAAGTGTCCTAAAGATGTCTGAACCTCCTCGTGTGTTGTCATGGATGACTAAGGGCATTGCCTCAGGTCTTGACATTCTTTTCATAAACAAATTTGAAGAACAACGTAAAGATTATTGGGAAACACTATACTCATCAGTGGTATGCCCCTCTATTGACTACATTGACTAAGCCTGAATGTTGATGAATGTGCTTGTGAATGCCTGTAACCTTAGTCCATTGTACATGCAGCATTTTGGTCCAATACTAATACTCTGTTCAGAGGATGATCAACTTGCTACATATTCAGTTGTTCAAAATTTTGGCCAGCATCTGCTAGAGCTTGGTGGTGATGTGAACCTAATTAAATGGCATAGTTCTCCTCATGTAGGTATGTTCTCAGTTTTCTGTCTACCTAACAGCAGTTTTAACCAGGAATTGTTTTGATCTTTACTCCATTTCGGTACTAGCGATTTTGATCATTGTGACTTCGTTGCTAAAGTTGTTGGCAAGTTTAAAGAACAGCATTCCACACTAGCTCCCTGTTTACCTCAGCCAACATACCTCTACACAATAAATGCAAAGATTGGACTTGTTATTGATTACTTATCTTGGTTCACTAAAATAAAATGAGAAGAACTATTCATTTGGTTTGGTTACTGACAACATCCTAAAAATGCGAGGAGCGGAGAATGCATAATGATGGCATAATGGAATTTGTTCCCATAATGCTGGACTTCTCAAGTGGTATTGTATCTGTAGAGTTCCAAAGCTCTCAACTGGAAAAGTAAAACTGGAACATTCACCACAATTGTATTAGTGTACGGGTACTACTCCCATTAATATCTGAAAGTTGATCGAATTCAATATAATTAATTGAAAGTTGCCATATAATCTAATAGAAGGATTTGAGTCAGTAACCAACCAGATAATTTCTTTTATGCTTGTGTTCTGAAAATTTCTCTTATTGCTGAGCATTTGTTAGCATGATCTGAATCAATTTGAGATATCCGTTCTCATTCACAATTTTCTCTAGATTAAACACAATCTTTTAAAGGTAAAAAATGTATTGTTTTCAAGTGTTTGCACACATTGCCAGAATTGGTTATATTGCCACCTGCGAAGCAGGTAGCTTCTAGTTTTAATGGGAAAACCTTCTCCAAAAAAAGGAAAAAAAAAGTTTTCAGTGGTGATATAAGGAAAGGCCTGTCCCAGCGCTACTAAAAGGTCATGGTAAAGCTATCATGTATTTTGCTTTTGCATGGAGCTCATTTTCATGAATCCAAATGGAAAGATAAGGTTTGGAAAAACATTGGACCTTGTGTGCAGAATTTTGAGCTGATTATATAAAGCTTGGCATCCATTTCTTTATGTATTTCGTCTCATCTGAAATCAACATTAAGAAGCCCTATGATTGATGCACTTTCTTACAAGTTTCTTAAGACTAAATGGTAAAGAATCTTGTGCATGATGTTCCCTAAATCCATCAATATCTGGAAAATCTAGTCTTGTGTGGTTGTACAGGACGTCAAGTCACCAACACAATGAGAACACAGAATCTAGATCATTAAACTAGTTCATGACCCACGTTGTAATATAAGAGCTCCTTGCAAGAGTTTGTTATTACTGGTGTTGTCATCAAATAAGTTAATCTTAATTTTTCTTAGATTTAGAAAGGATGGCAAGAGATTTTCCTTAATTTTGTTAGAACAAAAACGACAGTAACTAGGCAACACTTACAACACACATAAACCCACCCTGCCCTGAACAGGGGCCCAAGAAAAAAACAGCAACAGATCAACCACCAAAAGAGACAGAAAAAAATCACACATCGTGGAGCAAACTCGACATAACTAAACTATATTGATAAACCAACTCCCTGATTAAAAAGCAACTTCCAGAGGCTCCTTTGTGAGCTGCTGAAAGGTCCTACGATTGCACTCATTCCAGATGTTCCACCAGAAGAATATGACCATGCCATCAAAATATCTCCTCACAGCTTTAACAATCTTTGCTCTACATCTGTGCCTCATTGCCACCTCCATCTCTGCACCGGAGAGGTTCCTCCAATGTAGCAAGGTATTCCATACCTGTCGTGTAAATAGGCAATTTTTGCACAAATGGATGGAAGTCTCTGGTAAAGTGTTACGCAATATTCAAATATTTGGCAGACCTTTTCTGCAGATTTAGCAGTCAATATCTTCTGATGCAATAACGTCAGCGGAAAAACAGCATTTTGGTTCTCCTCTTGTCCACCAAATTGGACTGATCTTGAGTTTATTTGAATCCCCCATGAATTGTATGAGATGCACTGTGGGTCATGTATACTCCATCAGATGTCCATCGCCAGCTTATTTGATCTTTAGCCTCTAAATCACTTTGGGTCCTTCCGATAGCTTCCCAGAGGAATACAGATTCCTGTGTCTGCTGGTGTTGAAATTGGCAGCGTGTACCCGACTCAATGGTTGTTTTTTTCAGGCATTTGTCTCCAAGATTTTATTCGTGCTTGCCTTTTTCGAATTGCAAAGGGGCATTGTTTCTAGGGGCACTTCCTTCAATCCAACTTGAGAACCAGAACAGAGCCATATTCCCTTTCCCTGGCGTGACCAAAATTGAAGCATGAAACAGGTCCCTATCTGTCTTGTCACAACTCACAAGGGATGTCTAGTCCGACCAAGTTCTTTCTTTGTTTTTCCACCTGAGCCACATCTAACTTAATCTTAAAGCCTTTGCGAAACATTCTAGATATAAGATGCCCAAACCACCTCTTCCCATGGGCTTGCAGGTCACCGGCCAGCGGCCATTTGATTAGGCAATGCCCACCGCTAACCTTGTCAGGCTCCTCTCCTTTCCAGAGGATTGCATGTCTGATCCCCTATCGCGAGGGATCTTAAAAAATCAGAGGGCATGACTCATATTACACTTTTCTGATGTTGTGTACATAAAATTTGTTCACAGGGATAGATAACCTTGAGCTATATGAAACTAATGAGTATACACTTGTACGCTTTCTGCAGGTCACTATAAATTTCATCCTGAGGAATACAGAGCTGCTGTGACAGAGCTACTAAAAAAAAGCCTCGGTGCTCTACATGAGCAGAAGACAACTTAATGGATATGATGTGGGCACAAGTGAACACAGTGACACTCCTCCATCCACCTCCAATCTAGCCAGAACTGCTGCAAGCTCTGTTGGTAGGCTGAGACGAGCACCAATCGATCCAACCGACCAGTTTTTCCTACCGAGTTCCATGGAGTACCATGAAAGCAGCGAAGGACTGCAACCGGAGCTGTTTAACATGCCAAGCCTGGAGAGCTTGAGTCTGCATGGGGTTCTGGGGCAGGTGCTGTATGATGTATGCGTCCCGAAGAATGTAGAAGGCTGGGACCTCAAGCCTTCCGCGTCGATGAATGGGAGACACGTCCATACTGCTGCGCCTCGGCATGGTAGCTTCAATTCAATTAAATGTGTACGGCGCTCGAGATTGTGAATTTTTTGACCGGAACATGTGGATGCATATAGGTGACTTGTGTATACTATACGAGATAATGCTGTTTGGTGGATGCTGGTGAAACTTGAGATAGCTAATTAGCTATCATCCATCGAAAAAAAAAGCGAAGCTTGATATTTAAAGTTTGCCAACGATGTCCTGTGTTTTTATTGGGTCTGTTTCATTTGGTTGGTCTTTGGTCTTTGTTTGAAATTTAATTTGGTCTTTGGTTTTGTTTTGAGAGAAAAACACAACATTGTTGTTTACTTGATTTGGTTTGGTTTGGTTTGTGAGAGAAAAACATTGAAGGGAATCTGTGCACGTTTATATAGGATCTGGTGGCTTTTTTTTACCTTTGCCAATAAATGAAATCTCCTTGGCTTGGTAAACCAAAAAAAAAAAAACCAACCTAATTTTTAATGAGTCCCGTAAGGTGAGTGACTTGAAAACATGATTTTGAGCATAACCATGTAAAGAGTACTGAGTTTTGAGAGAATTCCGAGAAGGATCTCGGAAAGAATGTCAATTTTGACAAAACACTAACCAGAATCATGTAGTGTAGTGAAATCTAAGAGTTAATTGTGTCCTAATCACAGGGTTTAATGTTTTAATGGAGATTTTCACCCTGTTCGTTGTTGCTGAAATTTAGCTTATACTGATGCTCATATTGAAATGTTGTGAGAGAAAAACACTGTTCTATGGCTAAAAAGTAGTTCTGAATAAGCTCAAGCGAACAGGGCGATTGTTGGAACCGGTTGAAGACCACTAGGAATTTAGTCTGCCTGCTTTCTTTTCCTTAGTGATTAATAGAGATTTCAAAGAATCTCATCCTGATTAAGAAAAAAGAAACTAGAGGGGTGCAGCTATGCATGCAGATCTAAAGGGAAACGTGCACGCATTTTCTACATATCTAGTAAAAGTTAAGAAAGTTTGACCTACACGTATTTTATAACGACCTCTATTTTGAGACGGATGGAGTAACTATGACTATGGGTATTATAATCAAAACAATATTACAACAATCCATCCTAGGCCTGCCTTTTAGAGATTATGGGTATTTGGCACTCTAACAACAATAATCTAAGGATCCAAATACTCCTATTATTATATTTCATAGTCCACACTATAATAATAATAATCCCATATATAATCGCATGACCTAGTTTATCAGTCATGAAACAGTAGTTTTTATCTCACAATAAATCAGTTTTAACGGTTTATCGGCCGAACATGACTTTATAATAACAGTTAATCTGACATGCCCTTAGGGAGTACTACCTGGCAGATCGATAAAAAAACTGGGGCTGCAAATTCTTAAATCTCTCTCTCTCTCTCTCTCTCTCTCTCTATATATATATATATATATATATATATATATATATATATATATATATATATATATATATATATATACGCTATAAAATAATTTTATTCTGTAGCCAGGCCGCATATCAACAGGATCCGGCTAATCCCCTTGGCGCTTGCTTCAGGGCCAACTGTGGCTCAGGAAGGGGAGGTCCGGTGCTGAAGCGGGCCTGGCGCAACGAAAATCCCATACGGGAGGTCGTCCACTTCGACTCGCCCCTCGTCTCCCGCATCTACGTGTAGATGGGGTCCGGGCACCTCGCGTGGCCGCGCTGCATCCCGGCGCCCCTCCCCACCACGGCTCGCGGCGGCGCCTCCCCACCACGACGCCAGATGCGTGGCCCCCGGCATCGGCGCAGCCAGATACACGTGCCACGACGGGTCTTGGGTAGCGGCGGCGGTGCGGCTCTGCTGCAGGAGGTGCGAGGAGGCGTGAGGCGTCGCAGCAGGAAGCTTGGCCCATGCGGCCCGCGTCGGAGTGCAAGCTCGGTGTCCGGTAACTCGCCCTCCGGTTCCGGGCTTCTGGCGCACGTCGCCCAGCAGGCCCTCCGCTGACTCCAACACGTACAGGTCGCCCAGTAGGCCCTCCTCTGACTCCGGTGCTCGTCGCCCAGTAGGCCCTCCTCAGATCCCGTCGGCAGCAGGCAGGAGGCCGAGCCCCCTCAGATCTGGTCGGTAGGCGGTAGCAACAGTTGCCATCAAAGGTGAAGCTGCAGGTGCTCATTGCCGTCGAGCTTCTCTAGCTCGAGTGACTAGCAGGCTACTCCGACCAACGGGATGGAGATACTAGCAGGTATCTAGAAATTGATTTTTATGCCCTGCGGGTGTTCGATGAATTCACTTGCTGTTGATAGTTTGAATGAATGGCTCTATCCATGACTGAAGCCAAGGTGTTTGTTGAAATGCATAGCCCGTCTGCTAGTTGCTAAGATTTAAGTGCAATACGTGGGATTCATAGCCAAGGTGCTAAGTTTTGGCCCGCCGCAGCAAGGCATCACATCCAGGGCAAGAAGGCCATCGTCTTGCTGCAATCTTTCACTGCATATCGTTAGTTATTCATGCTTCTTTTTATACATTGTTGGAACAAATTTCTATGCATTATTGGAGCACATTTCTATACATTATCGGAGCATATTTCTATACATTATTGTTGGCGGCAGGTAATACGGCGTCACTAATTGCTGAAGATCTCCTGGTGGCCATGTACTGCCCTCTCGGCGGCATCTACAGTGACCGCGACGGCCCCTGCCTTCCACCTGGTGGCTCCGCCTGCCACGACGCCCCTCCCCTCTCCCTCACCGATGGCGAAAACGGCCCCTTCCCCTTGCGGATCCAACCTCGCCTCTCGCCTGGGTCACAGCAAGGTTTATGTGCATTTTATTTTTTATTTCTATGCACCTTGAACCAACCGTGTAAGCAAGCAACCATTGTTTTTTGCATGAACAAGAATTTATGCAGCCGAGAGGAAGTAGTTGCTTTTTAAGCCATAGTTGCTATGCCATGTTTTAAATCGATTTGGTCGCAGCTTTGCAGGAACATGGGGTTGCGGCAAATGAAGAGCTAGCAATGCAAGCAAGCATGGTTTTATATGCAATATTGATGCGTCCATTTAGAGACAAATTGTTTCTATGCTTGCATACATAAGTTTTTATGCATAGCAATTATGATTTGGCAATTTGACTGAATAAAATATTTATTTATGATGGTCAGTGTGGGTTTCTAAAAATACTAGATAAATAATAATTCTCGCAGTTTGTTTTCATGTACTTTGATTTTTTTATTTCTATGCTTCTTAAGCCAACAGTGTAAGCAAGAAATCATCTGGAATTTATATCCAATGATGGAGAACACTTTATACATTGTTGGAACACAATTTTATATATTATCGAAGCACATTTATATTTAATGTCGGAACACATTTCTATACATTGTATTAATAATTATCCATGTATTCTTGGAAGACTTCTATACATCACTAGATGACATTTCTATACTTTGGTGTTACAGATTTCTATACAATTATCAATAATGACTCTTGCAGTTTGATTTCATGTACTTTCATTGTGTGATCTGTTGGTCACATCTAGCAAGCTATAATTTTTTTTTCTAGTTTTTTGGCCGTGATTTTTGCATTAATGTAGCAAACATTAATTTCAGTAGGTTTTTGTGCTTGCTAAAAGATGTTTCTATGCCTTTCTTACCCCTGTAAGGTTTTTTATCCTAATAAAACATTTTTCTATGCCTTTCTTTTATCGTTGGAAGTTTTTTGTGCCTGCCAAAATATGTTTATATTCTTGTTTTGCCGCTGTAAGGTTTCTACGCCTACTAAAACATGTTTCTATATGCCTTTATTGTGATGTAGGATGGCTGAAATGAATTCGTCCATTTGGTGTGAGAGGTAAACGGTGGCTTGGACATAGGGCATGGCTTGCGACATCCACGACTTCATTTGCTTGCGGCGGTGGTGTAGTGTGATCGTTATGTAGTTGATGGGTTGGGGTCATTACGATGTTTGTAATAATTGTCCCATCAAGTGGGAAGGGTTTTATGGGTTTCTATGCATTGTTCTTCTATTAATTAAACACCCCTTAGTGGAATGGAATGCGCAAGACAAATATATAACCTAAGGCATTTTATTTTACCGATCATTATGGATGAAAACGGTACGGATATTTATTCGACCGTCCGTTCGACCGAACAAATATGAACACTTATCTGGATAGTTACTCGGATATCCGGTTTTTTTTTCGGATACGGATACTAAAACGGATTTCTTAGGCGGATATCAAATACGGATGTAATATCATCGATATCCGGCGGATATCGGATAATCCGGATAAGTATCGGATATATCCGGATATTTAAAAACTGATATTATCCGGATATTTATTCAAAATTTAAAAATCACAAATTTGAACCATCCAAACTATCTCAAATGGAAAGTTGACCAAAACAAGAATTGTAGATCTTGATGAGTTGAACAAACTTGGTATTCAAAACTTTTCAATTTGAAGTCATTTAGAGTTCATAATACTAGAGTCAAAGTGTTGTTTTTTCATTTGACCAAATTTGACTTGGTCAAACTTGCTCAAATGAGACACTAAATGACCTCAGATAAAAAAACTCTGAATACCAAGTTTGATCATCTCAGCAAGATCTACAATTGTTACATAGCTCATTTTCCCATTTGAGAAAGTTTTATCAAACACTAGTCATAAATTCTTGAATCTCATAGACTTTCTGAAACTATGTCACACACTTGTGAAATTTGAACTATATTTTGTTCAAACTTTCTCAAATGAAAAAATGGCCTATATAAGGATTGTATATCTTGATGAGATGAACAAATTTGGTATTCAAAACTTTTCAATTTGAGACAATCTAGGGTTCTGAAAACTAGTTTGTAAACGTCGAAATTTAAAAATCACAAATTTGAACCGTCCAAACTATCTCAAATGGAAAGTTGACCAAAACAAAAATTGTAGATCTTGATGAGTTGAACAAACTTGGTATTCAAAACTTTTCAATTTGAAGTCATTTAGAGTTCATAATACTAGAGTCAAAGTGTTGTTTTTTCATTTGACCAAATTTGACTTGGTCAAACTTGCTCAAATGAGACACTAAATGACCTCAGATGAAAAAACTCTGAATACCAAGTTTGATCATCTCAGCAAGATATACAATTGTTACATAGCTCATTTTCCCATTTGAGAAAGTTTTATCCAACACTAGTCACAAATTCTTGAATCTCATATAGACTTTCTGAAACTATGTCACACACTTATGAAATTTGAACTACATTTTGTTCAAACTTTTTCAAATGAAAAAATAGCCTATATAAGGATTGTAGATCTTGATGATCTGAACAAACTTGGTATTCAAAACTTTTCAATTTGAGACAATCTAGGGTTCCGAAAACTATTTGTAAGCATCGAAATTTAAAAATCACAAATTTGAACTATCCAAACTATCTCAAATGGAAAGTTGACCAAAACAAGAATTGTAGATCTTGATGAGTTGAACAAACTTGGTATTCAAAACTTTTCAATTTGAAGTCATTTAGAGTTCATAATACTAGAGTCAAAGTGTTGTTTTTTCATTTGACCAAATTTGACTTGGTCAAACTTGCTCAAATGAGACACTAAATGACCTCAGATGAAAAAACTCTGAATACCAAGTTTGATCATCTTAGCAAGATATACAATTTTTATATAGCTCATTTTCCCATTTGAGAAAGTTTTATCAAACACTAGTCACAAATTCTTGAATCTCATACAGACTTTATAAAACTATGTCACACACTTGTGAAATTTGAACTACATTTTATTCAAACTTTCTCAAAATGAAAAAATGGCCTATATAAGGATTGTAGATCTTGATGATCTGAACAAACTTGGTATTCAAAACTTTTCAATTTGAGACAATCTAGGGTTCCGAAAACTATTTGTAAGCATCGAAATTTAAAAATCACAAATTTGAACTATCCAAACTATCTCAAATGGAAAGTTGACCAAAACAAGAATTGTAGATCTTGATGAGTTGAACAAACTTGGTATTCAAAACTTTTCAATTTGAAGTCATTTAGAGTTCATAATACTAGAGTCAAAGTGTTGTTTTTTCATTTGACCAAATTTGACTTGGTCAAACTTGCTCAAATGAGACACTAAATGACCTCAGATGAAAAAACTCTGAATACCAAGTTTGATCATCTCAGCAAGATATACAATTGTTATATAGCTCATTTTCCCATTTGAGAAAGTTTTATCAAACACTAGTCACAAATTCTTAAATCTCATACTGGATTTTATAAAACTATGTCACACACTTGTGAAATTTGAACTACATTTTGTTCAAACTTTCTCAAAAAAATGAAAAATGGCCTATATAAGGATTGTAGATCTTGAATCCATGACCATGACTCCATGAGACCCATGAAGCAATGTGCTTGGCTATTTCTACTCATCGCCAAGAAGATTGGTGCTTATATGATGTTTGATGTATGATGTATATGTATCTTTATCTTATTTGTTGCTTTACTCTTTAGTCTTTCGGCTTAATCTAGATGGATTATGGACTCATAGAGTGGTGTAATGGTTTGCATACGTATGATATATATATATATATATATCTTGCTTTTACTCAATATCCGAATAGATATTTGTATCCGACCTTCTTCGAATCCGATTCATACCGTATTCGATACTCATTATTCGTATCCGTAACCGAGTCAATCCGTATTCGTATATGTATCCGAATGCTATCCGTGTCCGAATCCGAATCCGAACAGAAATATGAAAACAAATATAATATGAGTGATATCCGTTCGTATCCGATCCGTTTTCATCCCTACCGATCATAGGTGTGTAGAGAAGTTGATGACCAGATTTAGGATAGATGGTCGTACTATTAAGAGGGGCAAACATGTTTGCATATTGGTCATCTAGTGCCACTTGAGCGATCTAACTTTGCATACGTGTTAGGATCGAGTGGCGTGGTGAAAAGAGTGCTAACCCTTTGGGAAATGCTTGTGAAAAGCTAACACATGTGCACAAGGTGGTGATCACTTGGTGGTGTTAGCATATTTGCAAAGGTGAAGTCGAAAGGTGAAAAAGGAGGCGAAATCGGGCTCGGAGTGGTGCCCCGGGTGCCCCGCCACCCAGTGGCGGTGATCGGCTGGTCAAGGCCGAGAGCAGGGGTTGGAGCTAGCACTGTTGTGCCATGTTCGGTGGCATCGCCACCCCTAGGGCGGTGCCCACCTGGACTTAGTTTCGAGCAGCAGTAGAAGGGCCGTCACTGGACGTGACGGTGTACACTGTCATGTGCAGGGCGGTGCACCGCCAGGTGTTGTCCGGTGGCACCGCCACTTTTTCCCAAGGGTGGTGAGTTCGGTGCTGAGCCAAGGGGGTCATTGCCATGGTCACCGCCATGGTGACGGCGGTGCACCGCCCTATTTTCCCAGAGAAAAAGGTTTTCAGGGTGTTGGCCGAGGTGGCACCGCCACCCCCTGTCCGGTGCCACCGTCGCCTGTTCGGTGACCACGGCTACTCAAACTAGCCGTTGGATTCGACCGTTGAAGGGGCACCGCCACCCTATGTCCGGTGACCGCACCGTCGTGTCTGGTGCCACCGTAGAAACCAGCAGCTTTGCTCCAACGACTCTATTTCGCTTAGGGCTATAAATAGAGGTGGAGCTCGGGCTTGGGCTGGTTGTTGAGCACCCTTAAGCCTTGGTGGCTTGTGTAGGTGTGCTTGGGAGCCCTCTAACTCACTTGTGCTTGCAAGAGTGTGCTCCGATTACGAGTGAGTGTGATTCTAGTGCGTTGCATCGTGAGGTTGCATCGAATGGCACTAGGTGATCGAGTTGCAAGGCGGTGGTGTTTGTTACTCTTAGAGGTTGCCACCTCCTATATGACTTAGGTGGCTTGTGACTCCATTGAAGTACGCGAAAAGATTGTGCTGTGCTCTGGAGGAGGATTTGTGAGGGGGATTGTGCTCACCCCGCGGGGATCATGAAGAGCAATTCTAGTTGAGCATGTCATTGAGCTATCGTCACTTGGCTTGTGAGGTTCTTGCGGTGTCCAACGTGTGGACGAGATTCGTGCAACACCTCTTAGCCGTTAAACCACCAAGTGAGTGGTCGACACAACGGGGACGTAGCTTGATGGCAACCAAGTGAACCTCAGGAGAAAATTATCGTGCCAACCTTGTCTTCCCGTTGGTTTACATCCCCGTTACACAGGCTTGTATTTACTTTCACATGCATTGTGCTCTGTATAGTTGCTCTTGTAATTCGTCGGCTTGTGTAGCTTGTTAGTTACCTTCTTGCTTGTGTAGCATAGAAGTAGCTCTCTTGCGTGGCTAATTTGGTTTTAGTAACCTTGTTAGTCACATTGCTTAGTTTGTGTAGTTATGTAATTTACGCTCTCTAAATTGATATTACTTGCCTTGTTATTGAGCATTGCTAGTGAGCTTAGGAGCTTTGTGCTTTTGCTTACTAGTTGTGTAGGAGCTTCCCTGTGCTTAAAGTATTAGTGGCATAGGTTTGTGTGATCTTGCTCGTAGAATTGGTTAGGTGAGCTTTAACTAGCCCAGCACCTTAGTTGCTTGTTCAGGGTCTTTTCAAGGTGCTTGATAATTTAGATGGAGGGGTGTAGTCTTGGCTAGACCGATAGTTTTAATTCCACATTTGTTACGGTTAGCCGATACGATTAATTTCTAAAAAGGACTATTCACCCCCTCTAGTCCACCATCTGACCCTACACATGTACAACTATTGCAACATATGGAACATCCCGATATACTTTTGCAACATCCGTGTGAAACACTTGAATACAAACATCTGAAAAAATTCAAATGTACACTTGCAACATGCATCATATTCCGATGCGGCCTCCTCTACCGTCTGCATCGGGGCGCTATAGTCGTAGTAAGAGGCAAGCCCGAAGAGCTTCCGTGCCAAGGCTTGGCGCTTCTCCTTCATGTTGATGGCCCTTGTTTCAAGCATCATCTAAGTGAGCGAAGCAGCAAGGAGAGCAACGACAAGAGTAGGAGACGAGCGCGATTTGAGCAAATGGGCCGGAGAAGTGGGCAAGGGCATGTGAGAAAGAGCATGGGACGCAGGACCAGCGACATGAGCTACGTCAAGGAGCAGGGCGGGTGACGGAGTGGGAGATTGATGAATTGATCGGATATTGCGGAGTGGACGATGGATGAATTGATTGGATATATTAAACAAAGGTTGTGTCACGTGGCCTCGCGCCCGCGTCTGTTCATAAAGAGTTGGACTCTTGGATCGAAGAATTATTATTCCAAATCCAAATTATAAAATATTTATTAGGGTTTTTAGTTATATTATGTTTACATCAGAAGTTGCATGTTTGGAAGAACCAAAATGTGTTATAATTTAAAACATATAGAAATAAAATTTTCTTTTTGTTGTCAACGGATGTTTATCTACAAATGAAATATACTCCATATACCAAGATAAATTGTCGTGTGACCTCCAATGTTTTTTCCTCCTTTTCCTTTTTTCCAGAAAAGGGATGAGCCAAGAAAATAAAAATGGCTATTCGAAGGGAGTAAAAGAAGTGCAGTGGCATCGTCATCACGATATCAATTCCGGTGAGGGGTGGAATTATCCCTTCCGGCATTCTTCGATCCCGGAATATGCCCCGTCTCCCTCGTCGCGTTCCTCTCGTCGGTACGCTCCTGCCGCCGCTGCCGCCTGGCTCGCACCGCCGATTTGCCTCAGTCCAGATCGTGCCTCCCTCTTCCTAGATCGGGTCCGAATTCGGCTACCATTGCCGCCGCCGCCGCCGCTGCCGCCCTACGCCAGGTGCCACCAAGGCGTTCGCCGATCTCTTCGCCGGCGAAGAGCGCCCACCAGGTATTGCTCCACCCCCCATCTCTTCTCTTCCCTGTCCGCTGTGCGAAACCGAGTTCCCAAACTCTGACCTCAAGCTATTCGGCTATTTGATTGACGCCGACCAACTTCTAACATTTTGCAGAAATTATCGGGTGTACTGCGTACATGTCTACACCCAGCCATGTCCCTTTATTACTAGATCCGCCCCCTGATTGGAAGCACTAAAGGTTGCAATTTCTGTTCCGAATTCAGAATTCTGGTGGTTCCCGTAGCTTGTGGATGGATGAGGAGCTGGGTCGTGGTGAAAAGCTTTGATTTTGCACGCCGCCGCTGCTAATGCCCTTGCTGGAGGGTGAATTATCCCATGGCTTGATGGTCTGTGCTATCGGGGACCGGCTCGTCGTTGGTCGGCTCAGTGCGCAAGATGTATGCCGTGGGGAAGGTGGGCGGCCTCATCTCCCGCAGCGTGTACTCCGTCTCAGGCCCGTTCCACCCGTTCGGCGGCGCGGTCGACGTCGTCGTCGTGCAGCAGCAGGACGGCAGCTTCAAGAGCTCGCCGTGGTACGTGCGGTTCGGCAAGTTCCAGGGGGTGCTCAAGTCGAGGGAGAAGGTGGTCGACATCTCCGTCAATGGCGTCGAGGCAGGCTTCCACATGTACCTGGACAGCAACGGCGAGGCGTACTTCCTCAGGAACGCGGACCCGAACGGCGAGGAGGAAGGGGAGTTCATCGTCTCCCCTGCCTCGTCGGGAGATGAGCGGGAGGTGCCGATCCAGGAGGCTCAGCTGAGGAAGTCGAAGAGCACTTCGTGTGATAGCTCGACGATGGAAGCTGATGTCGGTGAGGGCAAGATTCTTGCGAGGACAACCTCGAGGCGGACCACCATACTTGAAAGGATGTTTGGTCGGAAATCGGTCAAGAACAATGCCCATGCTGTGGATAGGGTGAGCTCATTGGAGCGAGCAGAGATTGCTGCGGAACTCCTTGATACCAAGTGGTCAACAAATCTCCCACGGAGTTCAAAAACTAATGGTTCAAATGATGAGCCTTCCAAGAGCAATTTGGCAGAAGTTAGCAACTATGATCAGATGGAAACCTCAAAATCTAATGGTTCAAATGATTTTCCTTCCAAGAGCAATTTGGCAGAAGTTAGCAACAATGATCAGATGGAAACCTCAAAACCTTTGTTTTCAGAACATAGCTTGGATCATGGGAAAGAGATGGACTCTAACTGTGACAATGCTCACTGCAATTCATGTAGCCCCCGTGGGGGAGGAAACAGTTCAGCAGATGAAACTGATCAGTGTTTACAAGCCACTGTTGTGAAGAAAGAGGTGGTTGAGATACGCACGCATGAGAGTAGCGACTTTATTGATAATATCACTTCAATCACACATCAACATGGGTCAGAATCTTTGTCAAATGATCTGGGAACAGATAAACTTACGCATCAGCCTGTCGATACTCAAGATGAGTTGCTGCATGATGTTGAAGATGTTGCTGGAAGGGAGACACATACAGAGGAGGTTGAGATACACACGCGTGAGAGTAGCGACTTCACTGATAATATCACTTCAATCACACATCAACATGGGTCAGAATCTTTGCCAAATGATCTGGGAACAGATAAACTTACGCATCAGTCTGGCAATACTCAAGATGAGTTTCTGCATGATGTTGAAGATGTCGCTGGAAGGGAGACACATACAGAGGAGGTTGAGATACACACACGTGAGAGTAGTGACTTCACTGATAATATCACTTCAATCACAAATCAACATGGATCAGAATCTTTGTCAAATGATCTGGGAACAGATAATCTTACGCATCAGTCTGGCGATACTCAAGATGAGTTGCTGCATGATGTTGAAGATGTCGCTGGAAGGGAGACATATACAGAGGAGGTTGAGATACACACACGTGAGAGTAGCGACTTCACTGATAATATCACTTCAATCACACATCAACATGGTTCAGAATCTTTGTCAAATGATCTGGGTACAGATAAACTTGCGCATCAGTCTGTCGATACTCATGATGAGTTGCTGCATGATGTTGAAGATGTCACTGGAAGGGAGACACATACAGAGGACGTTATTTCCAGTGGCATTTTTGAAATCCATGTTGTTGAGACAGACATTACAAGTGGTAAGAGTGAGGTGGTTTCTGAGATTGTTACTGTTGATTCTGATGGAGCTAACCAAAATTTTACAGATTCTAATTACCAAAATTATGGCACCACAGATATATCAGCTGAAAGGCATGAGGTTTCATTGATCCCTTCTGCACAGGATGCAGTTCAAGAGAAAATAGTTATCCTCAGCAGTTCTGAGACTGTGGAGGGCTCACTAGATGCAGTTCAAGAGAAAGTAGTCATTCTCAGCAGTTCTGAAACTGTGGAGAGCTCATATGCTGTGTCCTGTATTTTGGATGACACAGTTCATGATGCTTCCGATATCTCACAGGCTGACAGTGTACAACATGAGGAGCACTCTAGTATCTCTGATGTGAGCACAGAAAAGCTAATTTCTGAGGAAAGTTCTTTAGTATGCTATGGCGCTCCCAGCAACAAAAAAGACTTGGTTAATGTAGCTGTTCAAGAATGTGAAGCTTTTATCTTAGAAAATCCTGCTCCCGAAATCTTGGAAGAGAATGGTCCAAATATGGATGTATCTACCGACAGTGTTTCCCTTTCCCATGCAGACGCAGCTCATGATTTAGCTTGTCAGCATGTTTCTTCTAGTGTTGTAGAGACACCAAGTTATGAGCCTGACATTGGTCCTGAAGATGTAACAAAGAACTCAATTGTGGAAAATGAAGCATGCAGCGGGGAGCTTGTTGTTTCTGTTATTCAGACCTCAATGAAAGATGGACTGACAGAATGCATTGCTCAGCTAGCTGTTTTTTCTAATAAAATAGAAGCAGAGGGCTCACCAACTGCTGTTGGATTTTCCAGTTTGGTTAGTGTTGAAGTGCAAAACACAAAACTAGAAGATGACACAAACAAATCTAGTTCTGTGATTGGAGATGAAGTTGGTTTTGCGCCTGAGGCTACAGCTGAGCTTGATGAAGAAGCGGAACCAGTTGTATCATTCTCTGAATATACAGAAGAAATTCAGTTTCAATTTAGTGATACTGAAAATTTTGTAGATAGAAAGGCCAAGGATGACATGGTGGCTAACAAAACAACTGGTGAAGTAGAACATGACGAATCTGATTGTGACACAGAGAAACAGGAAGGAGGTGATGTAGCTCTCGCAAATGACTTGGAAAACTGTTCTGATTCATTAAAGCCTGTGACTAGCCCTGTTTCTATTCCTGCAGTTGACTTCCAGTCAGGAGATATTAACATAGAGGCTAAATCTCTACCAAATCTCCGTTCTCATATACATGATCTTGAAAGGTCTGATATTTTTCAGCTAAGCTGCTCACTACAATCAAATGCTGAAAATAATGGGGTTGACCCAGTCAAGAGCACATCAAATGCTGAAAATAATGGGGTTGACCCAGTCAAGAGCACGAATTCTGCTTTTCTTGAGCAGAAATCAGAAGTTATTGGTGATTCAGAAGAAAATACCAGCCCGCCTGAGGTTACCAGCAATGTAGCACCTGATGGCAAGCATGCTGATGACCTGAAAGTTGATGCATTCATCCCTTTTGCAGGTGAGTTATTTTCTTTTTGCCAGGACTAACATTTATAGTTGTTTTAACACTAGTAGGTTATAATGTCTTTATCTTGCGGAGCTTGATACTGTTCAAAAAAATGCCCCAATAATTTAGTTGTGCTAAGTGACTAGTGAAACTTTGATAAAGACAGATTTGGTGGATTGTTTTGCTAGTTTTGTTGCAGTTTTTGTGATTGTGCAATGTCTGAATAGTGTGTTACAGAACTACTGAAGTAACTTGACAACAATGATAATCTCTATCTGTGCCACTTTTGCAGAATTATCACTATGCAGGCACCTGTTATCTGAAGGCATGGGGGAGGATGCTGCTTGCAGTGCATTTGATTCTGAGAAGATAACCTTAGAGAAGTTCCGTGACATGAAGCAATCACTGATGCGAAACAACAAACTAGTTGTTAGGATTGCTGGCCGCTATTTTCCCTGGGATGCTGCTGCGCCTATAGTGCTTGGTATGATTTCTTTCAGTGAGGAACAAGTTTTTGAACCCAAAGGAATGATAAAGGTGGAGCGAGTTGAGCAAAGTGAAGCTCCAGGTGGCAGCTGGAGAATCTGGCCATTTAGTTTCAGACGAACAAGGACTATTAGTGCTATCCAACCAGTTTGTGAAAGTACTGTTGAGACTTCTGTATCCAATGCTAAAGAATCCACACCTGTTAAAGAACTAGATAGAGAAAGGAATAAATCCAGGGGGAAGAGGATTGAGAGGAAGGTGCGATCACTCACTCCAACATCTGAGGAGCTTGCATCTCTTGATCTCAGAGAGGGAAGGAACGTGGTAACATTTACTTTCTCAACTGCAATTGTTGGGAAACAGCAGGTTAGTTTCACTTGATCTATTTCAAGTTTCACTAAGTTGCATTTCTCATCCTCCCATCTTTTCTTTAACAGGTTGATTGCCACATATATTTATGGAAATGGAATACACGCATTGTAATATCTGATGTGGATGGAACTATCACCAAGTAAGTTGCAAACTGGAGCAATCAAACATATGTTTTAATGTTTAATTATTATTGTTTGGAGACTTGCAGCCTGTTCGCTTGGTCGTATTTGGCTTATAAGCCATGGCTTATCAGCCAACGAACAATATTTTTCTCTCACACCAAACCAGCCAACAGTACTTTCAGCCATGGCTTATAAGCCAAACAAGCCCAAACAAACAGGGTGTTGATCGTCAGGAGTGTCGGTTATTCCACCTTTCAAATGATACACCTATTCTTTGGTTGTGTCGTGTATGTAATTATAAGTTTAAACCAATTTCTTCTTCGTAATGCAATGATAAGCAGCTCTCATGCGTATTCGAGAAAAAAAATGATACACAGTGATTCTTAATTTCTCTTTGTTGAAAAATCTTTATTTGTAAGGGAGCAAAAAAGAGGAAGATAAATGAATTAAATGCAACTAAGTTTTATCATTAAACAATATGGGAAATCTGATTCATACCACCAACCAATGCTGTATATTAAAATCTTACAAATGTTTATGTTTTGTCATATAATTGTAGGTCTGATGTTCTTGGGCAGTTCATGCCACTAGTTGGAGTTGATTGGTCTCAAAATGGAGTTGCTCATTTGTTTTCTGCAATTAAGGTATTCATGCTACTCATGCTTGTAACAAAATAAAGCAATTTTCAATTTCACTACCAGATCTAGTTGTGCCATAGAAAGGTATTCATGCTTGTAACAAAATAAATGAATTTTCAACACTTCCAGATCTAGTTGTGCCATAGCAGTTGATTGAGTCTTTTTTTTTTGACTTTGGAACATCATTCAAGTCTCAAGAATGCCATCAGTGAATGTTTTTTGACTTGGGTTTGTTCTTGTTATCCTGTTGCTTGCATCCACAGGAAAATGGATATCAGCTTCTATTTCTGAGTGCACGCGCTATTTCACAAGCCCACATTACAAGACAGTTTCTTTTCAACCTAAAGCAGGTACTTCTAAATTCAGTCCTTAGTCCTGGTTAATCTTCTACCTTCACAAACTGTTTGTGGCCTGGTACACAAGCAGCCATGAATTCTGTTATGCCCAATCACGTAACAATAGCACAGGCCTGGTCATGTCACACATTCACAAAGACCCAGCTACAGCGAAACTAATAAATAGAATCTGGTGCCCATCTATCTTATTCCGTCATGTATATTTTGATTTCAGGACGGCAAAGCACTTCCTGATGGCCCTGTTGTTATATCTCCAGATGGTCTCTTCCCATCACTTTACAGAGAAGGTGAGCACATCCTGATATATTTTCGCTATTTTCTATTCAGTTAATTGTCAGTGAGAAAAAATAGTAGAAGACACAAAATTACTTATCTCCACTGTGAAAAATGTTGCATTCATTACCTCTAATATTAACTTGGGTTCACATGAGTAAACTGGGTGTTGCTACCTTCTAATAAACTCAGTGTTTGGTAAGCATAACATTTCTGAATAACAAAATCACCACTCTTTTTGGTTTTGGACCCCCCTCAACCATTGTTGGATAAGAGGCCCACTCCTTTTTAGGAGGTCTATGATAAGTGCTCATAATACGATCATGTTGACATAAAAAGTATTCCCTCCTTTTCAAAATGTAAGGCATATTAGAATTAAAAAAAAAGAAAAAATTCTAAGCTTCGACCATCAATTAGTCAAAACATTTGTACATTTAGTGTACAGAAGATGTATTGACATATTTGTACATTCACATGCCTTTTATTAAGATGTTGCTTTGTAGTAGTTGCTAGTACAAGAAATTAATGGTCTGCCAGGACCGAAAGACTTTCTTAAATCCTGACACGCCTTATAAGAAGAAACGGAGGGAGTGTCTCTGTTGACTACTTTATATTAGCTGTATGTTTGAGTGATGCTAATGTTTTCTGACATTGGTTTGTAGTCATCAGAAGAGCTCCGCATGAATTCAAGATTTCATGTCTAGAGGTGAGTACTCCCTAGCAGCTTAGTGTACACATAAAGAAGGCCTCTTCGCTTCTTTGATGTTCTATTGATGATTTCTCTGTCCTTTACAGGCTATCAAAGATTTATTTCCACACGACTCAAATCCATTTTATGCTGGATTTGGAAATAGAGATACAGATGAGCTTAGCTACCTCAAGGTTGGTATTCCTATGGGCAAGATCTTCATAATAAACCCCAAGGTAAGAATTTAAGACAGAAATCACTAGTTTCCCTCCTGTGAACATCTCTATCTGCATAGCTGTGCTGGAGTTCAGCCAGTCAGAGCATACTTGCGCTGGAGATGGCATTTAGAGAATTTGTGTTAAAATTTTCCTTCGATGCAGGGTGAAGTTGCAGTGAATCGACGGGTTGATACAAAGTCATACACATCCTTGCATGCTCTTGTTCATGGGATGTTCCCTCCAGTATCGTTATCGTCTGAGCAGGTCAGCATTCCCTTAATATTTGCCAGCAGTTCAAGTGTACTTACTCTTTTTCATTTTAAATTGCTTCTTATCCTGACGGCAAGTTCTTGGTCAATTCAGGAGGACTACAATGCTTGGAACTACTGGAAGATGCCATTGCCTGATGTTGATTTGTGAGGTACAAGTCAAGTCTGCACAACAGCACTGCAGTAATTTTTTGATGCGCCGTAGTGATCATGGGAAGGCAACCATGGTGAAGGTACCACCCTGAGGTATTTCATTTCACCTAATTTTGTGCTACTTCGTTTTTCCCTTCATGGGCTTGTGTCTAACATGTTCGGTGCATTGGCCACCTGACTCTGCAGGCCAATTGTTGGTTGGCTACATGTGGATGCTCTGCTCCTGATATAAGCTCCTGCAAGATCGAAATTGTATATATAGGATCATAATAGATGACTCACGGTCTGTATATGCTGATGAGGCGGCAGGAGCAATGTAGCTATTTCTTGCGACTCCTGTTGTCGTTGTCGTTGTCGATCTTAGGACTGGAAATCATACCTCCATGTCCTGTAACTGAAGGTATATAATTTACTGAATGGAGGGATCTGATAGTGGAGTATGCTGCAAACCCCCCTGGCCCCTTTTCGTTTCATCCTTGATGTAATTGTGGTATCGATGTAATTTGTACAAGAGCAATTCAATAATGCAATAGAAAGTCAGCTGTTCATATGTAGATATGCTAGTGGTTAACTCGTACACTATTCTGCCAATAACATGTTGCATTGACCGTAGGTGCATCCGGTAACTGAAAATTGGTATGTATCAGCTATGTGTATATGTCATCTTTGGTATGCCTGCGAGTTTTCAGTAGTATATACAGCTATGTAGCCAGAGGCACAGAGCCCAGAGCTGCAATTTTAGCTGCAGCTACGCGCATGTGTGAAAAGAATCACTATTTTCTGTTAATTAAAACTTTCTTATCACTGTTCTAGTATCTCAAATTAGTTTATTTACTTCCTCCTGTGTACGGTCTTCGATGCATGTCTTTGACTAATAATATTTTTTGGAATAGATTTTGTGACGACTTTAACATGTTTCTAAACAAAACAATTTAAAAGTAATTAATGTTGTAGTTTATAAAGATTTGATCAAACTCATGTCCTAAATAATACTCCCTCAGGCCTTTACCAGGCATCTAATGACGTCATACGTTTTTTAAATTATACGATCATTCATTTATTTTATATTATATTGTTTATGATTATACATTTATGATTATTGTATAGTACATTTGATTATAAATCTAATACTATCAAGTTGGTATTACAATAGTTAAAAAGTTGTTAGCCAGGTTACAAGTTAAAGTTAAAGATTACAAAGTTTGACTCTTGACTTACGTGGAAATATACCTTATAAACTAGATCAGAGGAAATATGTTTTATGACTAAGAGAGAAGAAGAAAAACAATAACAGGGAACTGTCCAAAATATAAGTATAAGGATGAATAAGGGAATAGAGTTTGCCTATTGATGCATTTCTCAAAAATACTGGTCATAGATTGTTAAGTATAGTATCACATTAATCTAGGGAAAATCTAGATTGTAAATGAAGACATTACGGAGGGCCTTTTTGCAAAAAACTTGCAATTCTCATAAGCTGGAAGGCCCATTTGCTCACGGGCTCACTTGCTCCAAAACCCTAGAGCCGTCACCAATGGCGGACGCCGAAACCCTATCAACGCCCGCCCCCGCCCCCGCCTCCGCCTCCGCCAAGAAGAAGAAGAAGAAGCACTCCAAGAAGCACAAGGCCACCGACGAAGCCCCCACCAATGTCACCGTTGACGCCTCCCTCACGGGCGGTTCCTCCTACGCCGCGGCCGCCCCCGCGGTCGGCTACTTTCCCTCTGGCTACGACCCGCTCACCGCCGCCGCCGCAGGGGCGGAGTCTTCCCCCCGCACCCGGCTCTTCCGGCACGAGAAGCACCCCACCTGGGTGGACCTCGTGGTCCGGAGCCCCGGCGGCGGACCCGACTTCGTCGGCCGGAGCTATGCCGGTGAGGCCACCGCGCCGCAGCTCTGTGAGTATGCGCTCGGCGTCCTTGACAAGGCCTCCGGCACCCTCAGGGTCGTTCCCATCGCCGCCAAAAAGGTTAGGAATCAAAATTTTGACCCTTCTTGTAATGGCTGTAGTTGAGTTGCAATTTCAGCTAACACGAAACGGGTGTTATCACACAGATATGTGAAACTTTAGCTGTTTAATGAAGCAATCTCAGTTTTTTAAGTACTGTAAGCATTCTCTGCTGTCTAATTGTGCAACGGAAAGTTGCAATTGGATGGGCACTACTGTTGTTGTGACACTACCTGTGTAGTTAGGATTTTAGCAGAGTCGCACTAATGCTTCAACCTCCTGTTTTGAATTTTTTTTATCCACTTGGCATACATATCATACGTGGATTAGTATAATTTAGGATACTACTCTATTTTTATGATTATACCACCCTCATCTTAACTTCCTATTTGACTCATATGAAATCGAGTACCGGTATTTTACCGGAATCCATACATAATCCGTATTCGTTTATTGTTAGAGAATGAATTTCATCTAATTAGTTACTTTTTGGGGGTTAAACCGCACCCCTTCCATTTTCTAGTTCCAACTTTGTTTGTGTATGTTCAATGAATAATTGGAAAGAATCCACCGCATTCTCACTCCATCCGCCGACTCCTTTTTTTTATGGATTTGCTCTCATCTTTAGACCCCAAAAAGCGTATATTGATAGTAACCTAATAAAATAAAAACCAAGCAAACGCTCTTTTTCCTAAATTAAAATATGGGATCCTTTTTATTTAAGATCCTCTTTTCTCCATCTCATTTCTACTTCTACTGCTTATTGGGATGTCTATGGGATTGGAATATAAGCTATTGTTGTGATTGTCATTCCAATCATAAGAGTGGCATACATTTTAAAAGGGCTTAGAAACATTTCTGTGCAAACGGCATGAGGCATTGAGGATATCGGCATGTAAAGTTACTCTTGATGTTTGTACTCTGTAACAGATTCTGAGGCTAGAGCCACATCTTGAAGTACAGCGCCCAGTGCATTCGCAGCACTCTGAGGTGGCATCAGAGGCGGCTTCAGCTGCAGGAAATGATGAATTGAAGGTTCAAGATTTGACCATGATGTATGGAACCAAGATGGACAGGGACAAGGTATGTCTGTGTCTAGGTTTACTAGTGTGCTGTTGATTATATATATCAGAATTGCAACCAGAGTGTGAGCTTGAGACTTACTGTTGCAAGACTATATGAAATGGAAGGAACGAGAATGCCACTATTCCATGCCCCTGTTTGCTTATCTTTATTTAGGAAATAGTTTTTTTTTAAAGATGATGTTCATGACACGGTTACAGATTAGATTTGTTAAGCAGAACACATTATTAACTGTCATGGAGCTAGTATGATTTCTTTTAGTTTTGTATTTGAATCTATATGATAACAGGGCAATATTTTGTAGTTATACTTATACCATTGTCTTGAACAAAAAACTGATTTGCAGATTTATCTTGAGATGATCAAAATAATTTCTATTGTACACTGGTCAAATTTATTTTCATGAGCTGCAGAGGCACTTGCAGCATTCCTTGCAATTTAGAAAAGTTAAAAAGAAAGTTTGGTTGAAGCTTATAATCTTTGCAGGACAATAAGTGGAGATCGTTAAATGAACAAAGGAATGATCCTTCTGCTTTTGAGGACATTGACCTTGGAGTATCAGAGACTGCTGCCAACACCATTGATAGTCAGGAACCAGTACTTACTCGGAACATTCCACCTTATGATCCTACCGCAGATACATCAGAAAAGGCATATCTTTTGGATGAGATTATTCCAAAGAGTATGCGGCAACACCTTTTACAAATTATCGATCATTTTGAATCAGGAGAATTTTCCTCAAAAGGCTATGGGACTTTTGTCTCAAAACGTGTGCACAAGTTGAACGAGCTTCAGGTGATTAGTTACATTTTTCTGTTTGTTTGAGTTCTTCTGTAGGAAGGCATATAGTTTAAGGTGCTGCGTAATTTAATGGTAATGGTAACTCTGGTGAAACACCGTTAAATGGCAAACATTCTTGTGGTAATTTAAAGTACCTTTGTTTTTCTTCTCATGGAAACTTGTGACAGTTTATAATTGATCCTTAGCATGACTTTTTACTTGTATAGCATTCTGATAGTAGTATAGCAGACACCATTACTACTAAAATGATGACAAGTTGAATGGCACTGCTCTCTGTGTGCCTCTCTTTATGAAGTGACAGTTTGGCTGCCAAAATGACGGCAGACAATTGTTGCTCTTATGCTGTTTTTTATTTTGTTAATACAGTGTGTTTATGGATCTTTTCCACTTGTTTCTAAAAGAAGCTACTGTTCCCTTGCATTATTTCAGGGTGAAGATAAAGAGCGGTTTGCTTGGATACTGTCCTACATCCAACATCTTCTATCTTTATTGGCACGGAATGGCTCCATGTCCAAGATCCAACGGAAAGAAAGAAATGAAAACCAGACAAACCGTGGACCAGCAACCCCGCAGGCTGTATATCGCAGGCTGTTGCTGATGTTTACGGAACCAGGGTCCAGTGTCATGTCAACAGAGAAAAATGAGCTGCTGACCAACTACATATTGGTCCTAACACTTTTTGCCGATGACTTCAGATCTAATCCTAACGACATATGTGAGGACCTTAAAATGACCCGCCAAAAGCTTAAACCATATTATGACCAGTTGGGGTGCAAATCTGTGTCAGAAGGTGCTTTTAAGGGCAGTGTCATGATGCTTCCAGCCCCTCTCAAGTTCCCAAAGGATGTTACGAGAAAGCGGCGACGGCAATAGGGCTTTATTCAAGGAGAGAAACCAATGGTTATTCATCTCAGAAATGGCTTGCATTACATGAATGGTTGGAAAAAGGCCTCTGAATTCCAGTACCCCCAATCGAAGGCAAGTTAAAGGAATCGATGCTAGAGGCCTGATTTTGCAATGTACTGGAAATGAAAAGTTCAGTGTTTTATTTCATTTTGTTTTTGGTTGCCCATCTACATTGTTGTCAAGAAAGGAAACATGTCATATATGTATTGATAAATATTTGCTGACCTGTACGAGTGAATGTATTGAAATGCTTCCTTTTG